GCCACCAAATCCGTGTTATCTCGTGTAAGTAACAAGAGTGAACAATATAGGTGGGTTTGTCCTTGGACAAAGACTCAGTCTTCCGACTTTCAAATGCAAGCAGCGAGACGAATGATTTTGCCAATGGGAAGTTCGTAGCTAATGAAGGCAGTCCCCGTTATAGAACTTACGCGACCTGGGTTATTTCGGTCTTGTTCGGACGGACACGTCGTATTGGTCCATTGGTATGAACCGAGAGAACGTGAAGGAACAAAGCCTCGGCTTTATCATACTGACCAGTGTGAAAATACGACTCGGCAAGTTTTGCAGCTCTGACCACGGTAAGTGGGTGATCTTGACCGAAGAGCTTGAAACTTGATTCGAAAAGGCGGAGACTTAGAGGAGATGCTTCTCTGTGTCGAGTTTGTATTGAGAGATTATCAGCCAAAGCAGCTAAACAGCCGAGGGTTCGGGGTGCTTCGGGCCCAACAGTTGAAGCCATAAGATCATACGCGTTCTGGTGAATTCTTTCGGCTCTTGCCCATTGCCGCTGACCCAGTACTGAGTCACCGAGAAGTTTGATAGCCCATACCGTATTCTCATGCTGATCGCCATACCGTTGCCTTGAGGAGTCTAGTAATCTTACTATGACCTCTTCCGCGGGTTTCCATTGCCGCTGCCTTAGTAGTGAACATGCGAGCTTTTCTTGTATCTCGAGTGTGTTTGGATGACCTATGCCGTGGTGTCCCTCAAGGTCTGATAAGGTGTGACATAACGATGCCTCTGTTTGATCGTCGAGGTACCAATTCTCCATCAAGCCCTCCATATTCTGTGGCAACAAGAGCTCTTCCTGTAGCTCGCTGGTGGAAGTGGCCAGTTGTAAGCTACGGTAGACTTGATTAATCCACCGACATTTGTCATAGAAGACGTTGAATGGCGTGGATTCGAAGTCCATCTTCGATTCTGTATAACTGGAAGATGGCTCCCGCGAGAAGCTTTCAGTAATAAAACTGAACTTGTGCTCTTCTTTGATTGGGCTGCCTGGTGGCGACTGGTCTTCGCTATCGGTTGCATAGCTGAGTCCAGAAGGTGTATCTGGTATTAAATATCAATTATCTTAAACCACCAAGGTAGGCGAAGATACCTACTAGGTCTTGCATGAGGTGATACTGGTGTACTTGCATCGAAGCCTGTTCTGGCTTTCCATCTTTCAATCTTCGATGGGTCCACGGGAAGACCTCGAACACGAAAATGAAGTGATGCCTTATTAGGTTCGGTGATCCTGCGGTGCTCCTGTTTCTGCGCTATAAACTTCATCTCATAGCTCTTAACATTCTTGTCGAGGTTCCATTTGCTGATTCTCGACCGATACTGCCGAACACTGGATTATATTAGAGCCCGAGCAACAGGGAGAGGGCCAAGGACTGACGTAGCGTCGAACCCAGCTTCATTTCTCAATGTTTCTCGAACTTCTTGCAGAGAAAGACCTTGAGAGATATGGAGCTCGATAATTCGTGTTTTCAATGGTTCCCAATCCGCCTCGCGTGTGTTTCGTGATTTCAATTTCTTTGGCAGGTTGGGATTTCGACTCATTCTTATGAACCACCAAGTCTAGCTTACATGTTCATCTTTGGTTCATTGTTGTAAGACGTCGTCATAGTTGTAAGTCGAGGAAAGGGACCGAGGAAGCGAGGAAGACCCCACGACTGCGGAAACGTAGGATGTTATGGAGTCTCCGTGGCCCACAGCGATGCTGCCCCAAGAAGCGGGAGGGGCTGCGAGAATCGATGTGGGCCAATAGACGAAGCGGCCAGGCCGAACAAAACTACAATAAATTCGCTTCTTTGACCTATAACGTCACAATTTCTCCGACGCTACGATCCTTCCGCCGGGTCTCTCAGCGCTATCACTGCCTTACAAGGCGAACGGTGGTCATGCATGCACGGAACGTGCCTAAAGACGCCACTACGCCCGCTGCACTCGAATCCCATTGCACTCTCACAGTCCTTCAAGCCTTGTAGGAGGAGGTGAACAGAGAATGCAAGGCATATGCCATCTTCATTGCCCTCACTCAGCGCATCGTCGGACGGCGCGACAGATGGTCGGACAGCGCGACGACCGTCCTATTCTGGACACCGGTGAGGTACGAGTGCGGCGTAGCCGTGACAAGTGCCAATTGCGATCAGACTCTATGGAAGTTCGCATCTCGCTTGACAGGCGGTAACGTTAACGTTATCATAGTGCCCAGGCCCCGGCGGTTTTCCGGCTCAAAGTGGACCGCCTGTGCCGCAGCGAATCCCCTCTAAAAGACCCTGGAAGTCAGAAGTGTTGTTGGAATAAACGCGCCCACTGCCCTTTCAATCGCGGCTGTATGTAAAAGAGGAAGGCAGATAGTGCACAAAGCCTTGATAGTTTAAGAGCGAAACCCAGACTTCACCAAGAGTAGAAATTGACATATGAAAACATGAAATAGATACCGGAACTTCGGTATCTCTTAGGATTTGATTTGCCAAGCCTAGACTGCAAGAACTCATGCACTGTTGAATGGAAGGGAGAACTTTGGTGCCAACATAACGGGTTCATCAATAATTCGAAACACGAGAAGACCACTCGATAGAGCCGATGCCACAAATGACCTATCCAGTTGAACTGAGAACCTCAGCCATCTGGTCATTATCATGATACAGGGCGCCTGAGTGCCAGTTCGTTCGAGCCGACTTAAAGAAAACACCAAGCAAACAAATATTGGGCAAATATTGGGTTCAAAAAGATACGCTGTTCGGCGGCAGATAAGTTTCATAGCAAGTCTGCTTTCTCAATGAAATATTCAAGCAGCAGACGACATTATCATGGAGGAGTTTCGTTGTTGCTGTGGCGCCCGCCGTAACTCTTTCCAGATTCAGAATCGAGAAAAGAAGGCTCATAGTCGGCTAAGGGGGAATCAGCAAATAGAATAATACATAGTCTTCGTTTACTGCTGTTACACGATGATGGAGGGCTTAGTGGCTGTGGTTATTTGGCGAGATCAGAAGAGAATTCAAAGGCTGGCCCCTTTTCGAAGCAAGTAGCATGATGACTGGGACGAGCCACAAGTTTTACTAATCGATCGATGCAAAGAGATCCGTGTTGTGATGCCAGCACTCTGGGAGTAAGCTTGGTTAGTGTGTATAACTTGAGGGGTTCTGTCTCGACGATAGTAATTGATCAGCAATTGCGAAATATGGAAAATTGCGGGAACAATGGGCCCATTGCCAAGATGGTCCTCATCAATAAACAGGGCTATGAAGTATTATCGAACCGAGCCATTTATAAAGACCAATACTCGTCTCTTAACGCACTCGAAGCTGGTGTGCTTTCGGGCATGTAATCTCGTGGGAGATCTGTTTCGCATAACAGCGGAGGCAGATATGAGGGACCGTACTTGTGTCGTGGAGCTGGGGCATCGCCGCGTGTTCTACCTACCAAGGTTCCGGCTCGAATAAAAAGCCCCCGAGAAGCTCTCGCTTCTCGTTGTGGCAACGCCGAATTAGGGGCTACCACAGACTCATGGTCGGCCCAATGATGCAGCCTGAGAGACCATGTTAGGCCATTTCTGCCCTTCCCGTACTAGACCTTAGCAGAATTACCTACACTAAACTCGCCATACCGTAGAGAGGACAGGCTTTACATTATTTCCGCCTCATCCGGCTCACCTGCACTTCTCAAATTACACTTGTGTGAGCTCGTTCATTCCTTCTCAGGCACACTTGGGCTTCATCTGCTCATCCCAAACCCAACGCACAACCATTTTCATGTGCTCAGTCAACAGACATTGTAATTGGTATTGCCACATGTTTTCACATGACTGCTGAGAATGCCGAATCTCAAGAGGCGCAGCAGCCAAGTGCGAGCAGCCAACGAACTGATCAGAGTGCAGCTACTGGAGGTGCATTTGCCTCAGAGTAATCCAGCCTCAATTCCCCTGGCGTCTGTCAGCCAACAGTGTTTACGCTACAGGCAGCCAAGGCCGGTGGCTTTTTGCTGGTTCATTTCTTCAGTCCATTAAGCATAGGACCGGCGTCTGGAGAAGCCAGGGGTCTCAGCCACTCAACGGTCTTGTTTGCATGCTTAGCCTGCGGATTGACAGCACAAATCTCGGACAGAATCGAATGATGCAGCGATGGCTGGCCAGGCATACCAGGATCAGGAAAACCAGGCGGAGCCGATGAGGAAGAGTCGTGCCCGTACTGAACAAGACCGGTGCCCACTTGTGCGACTTCATCTCGGATTATGCACGCCTAATGGAGGATTTTTCGACTAGCTTCTGGATCGCCGGGGTGCTGCTCCCACGACTAATACGGTAGTCTAGTACCCCGGAAGGCGATGGACGATTCGAGGCGCTAGTGTTTATTTCTGTGTCATCCCCCTGAGTAAAAATTCGGCCGTCAGTTGTGTACCTGCGTCTGACATGCATGTATGCCCGTCAACAGCCTCAAGGTGCGGTACGACGCTCTTCAGCAAAACATATCATTGACCACACGCCAAACAAGTTGTTTCTGTGACTTTGATATCTTGATATTTCGAGAACATACCACCGCTTCTCTGTCCAAGAATAGTTTCATTGGAATGATCTCCCTGAAAGGCTTGACTCTGCTTGGCCCCCAGATTCCCCGCATGAGAAAACGACATGTGATGGGTCCTCGGTGAAATTACCCCGGAAAACCTCTAACCCTCCATCAAGGACGACCCATGCAGCCACCCCTTTCCCGGTATCCACTCACAGATCCAACTTGGGGCGCGTCTAACAGAATGTAACCAGCAAAGAGATTGCTTGCTAGGATCGCGGTTGATCTGACCATCAGTCGCTAACCAGGGGACTGAGGCATAAAAGGTCTCGCTGCCGGCTGTCGCTGTGTGTCAGTTCTTCTTTCCTCACCTACGCTCACTATCTCACCACTAGTCATTCGTTATTGTGAACTTTGCGCCTCAAACAAGTCCTTCTTGATATCCTAATATCTCAACAACCACCCCCAACCGCCAAAATGAAGTACGCTTTCGCTGGTCTGGCCATCGTTGCCCTCGCCTCTGCTCAGTCCCTCTCCGACATCCCGTCCTGCGCTCTGCCCTGTATCCAGGATGCTGTCACCTCCAGCACTTCCTGCGATGTCTCTGACTTCGCCTGTGTCTGCGAAAACCAGTCCACCCTGACCGGTGCTGCTACTCCTTGCGTTATCGAGAAGTGCGGTGCTGATGTCGGTGTCAGTATGTATATCCCTGAATTTCTAGCATGTCCCTTGCAGCAGTCTGTCTAACACGCCTTCTAGACGAGGTTCTTCCCGCTGTACAGAAGTTCTGCGCTGAGGTTGAGGCTGGCGGCTCCGGCAGCACCAGCTCCGCGGCTGCTCCGGCCTCGACCTCCACCTCCGAGGCCGTTGTCCCCACCACCACTGCCTCTGCTTCCTCGTACCCTACCACTACCGAGGAGGCTGTTACCACCACCACCATCTGCCCCTCCTCCACTTTCGCCACCGCCTCTGCTTCCGGCAACGGCACTGTCAGCACTGCCTACCCTACCTCCACCTTCGTCACCGCTGGTGCTGCTCACATCGCCGGCCCCGTCGGTGGCATTGCTGCTCTTCTCCTCGGTGCCCTGGCTGCCTTTTAAGAAGCCTAGCCCGCTCTGGGTTGAGTCCTGTTGAGGATGGCGCCTGCTCAATGCTATCTCGGATGTTGGTTGCTCAAAGCATCGACTGTTTGGCGGTCAAGGACTTGGGTCTGAGATAGGAACCGAAAATCAATATTGGATATTAACTCAATGTAATGTCGCTATGCTGCATGTGCAAATGCGTTGTAAATGAAAAATGTAGCAGCACTTCACTTCTCGAACCTGTTCCACGTCTCGCAGAGGCCATTCCACTTGATCATTCCCCCCTCTTAGCCACGAGCTTAGTCCCATTTCTAGTGTAAAGTCGACCTATGAACGCTCATAGAACCTTAGTCAAAGTGTCAAAGTGTATTTAGCTCCCGAGGTTCACCTAAATAACTGCTCATAGCCAATGGTTGATAGCCTAGGAAAGACGGATGGCTGGCAAGCGTCTACAAACCCTGTAGGAGTGGAACGGCCACAATAGTAAGCCATACAGCCAGACCGAGATGACATGGACTCTAATCACACGTTGAACTAGAAGATATTCGTTCAAGCATTGTTGCGTGTTCCGAAAGTTACCCCCACTTACCCCAGTCGCTCACCTAACCTGTCGCCGCTTTACTCAGGAGCTACTCAGTCACCACCCAGATACCACTCAAGACAGCTCAGGAGAGTGATCAAACCTGGTTTAGATAAATAGATAGTGCTACAAAAATCTCAACTTTTCGCGAGTGTTGTGACAGGGGACAGTTTTGGGCCACCTAGGTTAGAAAAAGATAGGTTGTTGGCAGAGTTTGAGAAGCATATCTCAAGCATAACACCTATTTGTCCCTGTGACGTCCATCACAAAAAGTGACAGATGCCGTGTTAGGGCCTCTAGAAAAGTCTTGTATAACATGTTCCTGCTGCTTGATGCAAGTGAAAGGCCTTGACAATTTATTTTAGCTCTTTATAGAATATGAATCCAGTCATTGCACTCCGAGAGACATATATATCATTTCAGAAATCCCGGTTTTTGAAAATGTCCCTAATTTCTTTCTCTCTTCTACGTTTCATATCATGCCCCGGTCCCTGTCTGATAAGCCAGAGTATCGATTAATATGGAAACAAATTTCATGCACTGGATATACTTACATGCTACGTCACCTTTAACTTGTTCAGGATGCTCCCATCGTTGCGTTATTGCTGCTTGGGGTTCTGGCTGATCTTCGGTGGACTGTGATCTGAGCTTCTTGACGAACAGCATCTATTCCATTCCACGGCGAGTATTGGGTGCTTTCAGCTAGCCACCGACTAAGGGGGGAATTCCGCGAGTCAGTGATGTAATGAGCCCCGAATGTTGGTCGTCCTCCTTTGCGGGAGATGGAGATCCAGTTATCCTTGTGAGGTACTGTAGCTGAGCTCATTTCGCCTTTAAATCGGTTTAACGTGATATACGATTGAGAAGGTTTGCGTTTACTTGGGGAAGCAGAGAAGTTTAGGAGAACGGGAAGGTGGATGGTGCAGAGCGTATATTGATGAGAGTGGACAACACCGTGATAAACAAACGCCCAAGATATATAAACATCGTCTAGGTGGGTAGACATATGCATCAAAAATGCACTGTATAGCCTTTTGAAAGAGAAGCAGACGATCTGCAAAGAAACTATATACTTACCACCGCATCGCTCTACGCTATAGGGCTTCCAAAGAGTTGATACTAGAGCCCCAGGTAGAGAGCTCCCCCCATCTTTTGAAATGACCCTAACATCTTTGGAAAAGGTCAGCACAACGAAACAGCCCGGGCCACGAAAGTTCCCTGCAGGCTGCTTGAGGCTCAAGGACCGCGCGTTGTGAAAACAGAAACTGGTTGGAAAGATTCTTCGCTAGTCACTTAGGCTTTTGCAGTGACATTACAAAACCTGGGCCTGGGGGCATGTGCACCTGACCCAAGGGGGATCCTCCTTCACAGTGTTATCTTGACAGGGGGCACCAATGGTGTTGTGCATTCATGCTACTGTAATTTCTAATTTCTTACAGTGCATCTGTTAAACCCCCCACTTTACAGCCAAATTTCCAGAAAAGTACTAATGATCATCACGGTCCTTCTGTCCTTCTGCAATCAGCCACCCCCACCCCCTTTTCAGTGTTACCAAAAAGTCCGGAGCTCTGCCATGCAACCGAAGCATACGTGCCCAGCCAAATGTACATTTGGATTGACCTGATGTATTGAGAATTTTCCTGCCGAGAGTAAATTCCATTCACCAATGTTATATCATTGAGGCTCATAACCTCTGGGCAGTAACTTATAACACGGTATTGTATGTTTACACAGGGATATCTGAAGCATGTCGTGTGTGTATATCTACAATGACCAGTACAGAGTAGTAGAATGGTTGCATATCACCAGAAGATGTTAAAATCCAGCTTAGTTCCATAGCAAGACCAATGAATTAATGAACGTCTGGCTCGGCTAACAACCTAATCAAGGTACAATAAGACAGTGAAGTGTGATTGACATATTGAAAAGAAAGTAATATTATGAAAGAGACGTCGTCTCAAAGCGCTTTTTCATTTCCTCAAATTGCTCATCAAGCACCTTGCCGTACGCGTCCTGCTTCGCCTGGTTCTGCTTTTGAATCTGCTTATACTGCTCCATATAATCCATAGCGTTACGATCTGCCCGCGATGAGCCGTCTTTCGACAAGTTGGCAAGAGCGGCAGTCGCGTCGAGGTAACGATTTAGTAGCTTACCTTCCAGCGGCGCATCGGGCGTAGGTCTTCGTTTGTCAATACGATTCTTCATGCTGTTGCAGTTGTTGGCCAGATCAACTTTCTTATCTGTCTTCTGGAGGATGAAGATGGCAAGACCTAAAATATCCAATGTCGCATCATCTTCCCTGCCGTTAATTTCCTCGGATCGATCGAGTAGTCGATAAAGTTTCTCTAGAGTAACCTCAAGACGCCAGGACTCTGGGTTGACGTACACAAGGTAGAATGAGACGAGAGAGAGAGCCGTGGCACTTTCTGATTTGGCGAAGGTGTTAACAAAACCGATGTAGATAGAAAAGACCACCTCAACTAGGCTTGCAAGGCTTTCTGTGTCTTGCTGGGAGATTGAGTACGTGTGTTTGAGCACTTTGATAAGCGCCGAATGACGATCCGAGTGCATGTTCTCCGCAATTTTCTGGCACTTCAAGAGAAAAGCTCCAACAGTCTGTCGGACGAGTCCTACATTCTGGAGCTTTCTACACATCCGGACAACCAGGGCGAATATCGCGGGTAATGAAAAGAGCCCGAGTGTTTCTACCATAGGCTTAAGAACACCATTAAGATCGTCAATGCTTGATGCTCCAGAGCCTTTGAGCAGCTTGTCGATGAACTCTGCAGTATCTCCCCAAGCGTCATCCCACTCGTCTTCCACGACACGGAAGTCATCACCCAGAGACCAACCCCATTCAGTATCACTTCGAAGATGGCCTGTGCAGAGGGAGTCGACCCCTTCTTTCATACCGGCCAGATCATTCAGGCTCAAGAGTTGAGAGTCTTGGCCTTTACGAGCAGGGCGGAGTTTCTGTTTCGTGACGTTTTTCTGGAAGCTCCATTCCTGAACGCGGGCTTTGAACATCCTTTCGCTAGCCCTTTACTCATTTTAGTAAAAATCCTTCAGTATGGGTTATCGAGGACCTACCCTTTGAGATAACCAAATTTGTGCATTATGGACCTAGTTGACTTCAAAGATAGACCTTCTTCGGCATAGAGTATCTGAATCATTCTTTTATGCTTGAGCCATTGTTGTTTGTCCATGGATGTTTCAGGTTCTGACACGCCTAGAGAGATGAGACTACTCTCCGACGCATTGGCTTGGCTTTCTTCCAAGAGTAGATTTTCATCGTTGCTCCCGCTCGGCGTGGTCGTGTTGAGTGTACTACTGGTATCGAGGGTTGGGATGACCTGATGAACAGTATCCGAGGCCGCCATATCAATACCGCTAAAGAGCCCACTCATATCAGAAACATCCATTAAGGGCATGGGATCACTGTAGGACGGCGGCAATGTGCCATTGGAGAGAGAATAGTTGAAGCCCTCAGTAAAATTGTGTCCAGGCTGGGTGAGTAGTCGAGGATCAACCCAGCGCGGTGTAGCTGTTGGACCAACGGGGGCAGGCCGCTGAAAGTAAATCTCCCCATCAGCAGGCCGCTTGCAAGGAAGGCTGCTGTGGTTCGCTGTGATATTCCTGGAGTTAAAGGCATAATGCTCTCCCGAGTCAAGATATGCCATGACATGAGAACTCGATACATCCGTCTTGTCCTGGTGTGCTTCCATGTCAAAGAGTGGGCTGTAGATAGAAGTAGCTTTGTGAATGGCTTAAAATTGAAGTATTTGAGTACAAGTCTGGAAACGGCGACTGTTGCACCTAGATATTGAGCCAGTCGAGAGCCTGGCACTCAAAAAAGACAACCCATGACAGGCCAAGCACGACTCAAAAGACCGGAAGACTTTTACTTCCTGCCTTGTTTCTGCATGGGAATTGATCCCCCACCACTTAAAAAAGGCCATCTGCTGCATATTGTCATGCGGTCCTTTCATGTGGCCGATCTCACTGGCGGACGCCAAATTCGATTCAGTTGCCTGGTTGCCTCTTTTTCAAGGCGACCTGGTGTCAGCAGTGAGGGGCATCACACACGGGTATCCTAAAAATTGGGCGCTCAGTTTACGCTCAGCTCTCTCTCAACTCACGGACCAGCTGTTTCACATGTGGTATATCGGGCCCTCGTGCACTGCAGGTGACCCTCAGGCTAAGAACCACAGAGAATATCGGCCTTGATATAAAGTTATCGATGCCATCATTCACGTTCCTGAATCCAGCGCGAGACAAGCCGAAAATTGAAAACAGTCAGTAGTGGTTGCTGACACTCTATGAATGTCTATGAATCTAGCGATATCCGACATGTTTCTGGAACTAATAAAGAGCTGTGGGTGACATGCAGTTCCCAGATATGAATTGGGAAGACTACGGAGATTTCTGCTCTCTGCAGAAGGTCTCTGGGAAACCTATGAAACCTGTTGGTGTAGGAACTCTGGACCACCTCACTTCCCATGAGGCTTAAATCAGAATTGACATTCGGATGCGTTTGAAAAGCAGCGATCCTGTGCATCCAAGACGTGGTTTAGACCAATCTTTCTACTCTTCGTGGGAGGATACAAAAATCCGAGACGCTGACCAGACCATGTCCACATGGACTGGAGAAAGACTTACAGAAGCGGGGGAACATCCGCAGCAAAGGATAGTTTAATGATCATGGTTGACCAACTTTGGTGCTGATCTACGCTTGACGCGGATGCCGGCTCACCCTACGCTCAAGTTAAAGCAGCACCAGCTCAGGTCAATGCACGACAAAGGCAAATGGTCAGGCAACTTTCGGGAAACGCATAAGTTTGTTGCTAGCTCTTCTGAGTTGTGTTGAGATTACAGGGCTTGCCCTGAATTGTGTGCTGACAAGTAAACTGCATTGAATGCTACATATTGAACCCGCAATTGCCTCAGCGGCGGGTTTTGTTTACTAGCTTTGTTGTATGCTAGGTGTAGTGCCACTTGCAGACTTGATGACGTCTTATTCTTAGATCATCTAGAAACCCTGCTTCTCAACTTGGGCCTGAGCCGCAGCAATGGTTGCCGCCGCATTGGGGTCGACAAAGTTGCACCCATTCTTTCCAGCTTGAAATGCTGCCGCCTCTGCTGAGCAGATACCAATGCCACTTAAGTCTGCGCAGCAAGCAGACGAGCAGTCGGCATCGTTGACGCAGCCACCGGTGATGAACTGAGAGCCGTCTCCCTTTCCAACATTTCTTGCGCCGGCATCGTTCGTCTTCAGTTGCGCGAGGGCAGTGACCGCAACTATGTAAGTCATGTTAGCATGTAGCCCAACAAATACATTTGTTGGAAGTGTTACTGGTCAGAACTGTTGCGAAGGCAATGCGAACCATGTTGATGGTAGCGTAAAAATGAGAGAACGATCAACGTTTAGAGAATGTAAGTACAAGAAACGAAGGACGACACCGGGTCGGCAATGGCTGGAGCACTTCAAGATGGAAAGTAAAGAGCGATTGAAGATGGAGGAGGAGCGGACATGTACACCGGGAGCATCGTAGCGACCTTTTTGTAGGCTGGAAATATGGATATCATGAGGTGCTCCACTCGATCATTCCGAAGATCACTGCCAGATAGATCCCGGTATCGTCATCAATGGGACAAGACATGAGACGCAAAGTGATAGTCGTCGCAGATCATCTCGAGAACAGTCGACTGCATGTTTGGATGGCAGAAGTGCCCGATACGTAATTCAGACAAATGCTCGGCCGACTGCCGACAAGCGGGCGGGTCTAACGGCTTGGCCTGCAAGAAGACTAGTAATTATCCGGTGGCGCTCCCGTTTGATCGGCCCCAGAGCCAGACTTTACCAGTCCAGGCTTATAGCACTGCAGGCGTGCGGCGAGCCTAGCCCTTCCCCAGATCTTGCAAAAGATGCAACACAGGGCATCGATGATGTGACCGGCTCATTCCCTCCGAACCGGTAACGCTAGCCGAGTGCATTAAAGCAAAGCGGTTCTGTTTTAAATGTCTTGGGAGTGATGCACTCATAGCTAGCTATTGGCAAGACCTGGCATCGTTCTAGTGCGAACATAACACGACATGTATCCTATGAAGCCCAAGGTTGATCTTGGAGCTTCCTTGATGAAAACTTAAACTTTTCATCCTTGCTTGACAGTGCTCAAGCGCAGAGGACCTGTGCCGCTCTGAATTGACTGTAAGCGCCCATGCATTTGTAAGTCCAAACATAAGATATGTGATGAATATAGGTACTAGATACACGGAGTCTCACCACTGACTTATCCCAGCCATTTGTCCACCCGGACTTACAGTAGGTATGAAAATTTGTATCGCGAAGATGTACGGAAACATGAAGCCCTTGTGTTGAGAGGGCTGCTCCACAGGAAGGAAGCGAAAGCTGGTCCGCTCACCAAATACTATCTGTGAGGTGTGGGAAACAGTTCTTCCTCTTTCCAGACAAACACCGCGTACTCTTCTTGCTGCGGTAGCTTTTAATTTTGGGCCATCAACTTCCTTGCCTGTCGAAGGTCTTTGTCTAGGTCTACATCCCAAAGCCAGCTAAATTTAGAATTAAAGTCATCTTCGTATTCTTCCCCACCGGCGGCTCCTATTGTTGACATCGTCTTCACGCTCCATCGGCTCGATGTGATGACTTTCTGAGTCCGCTGCCTCCGAACACCGTCGAACGCTCTGAATGCGCGTGTAGCGTCATCTGTACTTTGACTTTCTCCTAGAAGATGATGCAGAATGAATGCATCCTCCACTACAACATCTGGAGTTAGTAATTGTCTCAAAAGGATAGCGAAAGAGCACGGAAAGGCTCAAAAAGAGATGTCTCGAGAGTAACCGTCCATTTTTCGATAGTGCCGCTAAATCTATTACTCCGAACATGGCTAAAAGAGGTGAAAATGAAGTCTAGAAGTTGCTTACTAGCCATGCCACCACCAGCACCCATATGGGGGCTGCTCGCGTCTATGATTTGTGGAGTCAGTAAACACCTTTTGAGTACATTAGAATACGAAAAGCCTCTTGTCTAAGGCGTTCAGAACTTAAAAACTCAAAACATATATGAAAGGGGTGAGGAAATCCCAAAGATTGCTTACGTGCAGAATCTCCTATTAGACAAAGCCGCCCGCGGAAATACGGTTTATCATGTGGTAGGTCAAATATGGCCCACCTATCTTTACTGCCATAAATTGAGAATATTTTCTGTAGTTCGGGATGCCAGCGCTCCAAGTCCTTCAGAATCTCTTCTGGTGTAGATGGTGCGAGCCATGTCTCATGTTCCCATGGTTCATCTGGTCGACAGCATACAGCGAGGGCGTTGATCACGGTACCACTCTCGAGGGGGTACGTAATGATGTATCCTCCTTGATTTATAAATAGGCTCCCGCTGATGGATATTTCGCGGCCGAAGGCAGCTTCGAAAGCCTCACGCGGTACCATTGCTCGGTATCCATAGTCACCGGTGTAACTGGGCACTACCTGTCCCTGATACAAATACTGGCGTACTGTGCTTCGAATGCCATCACACCCAATGACAACATTTGCAGTTACTGTTGTTCCATCTGCAAATTGTAAGGTCGTCTCCCCATTTTCATGTTCCTCGATACTCGTTAGCGACTTTTTGAAAGACGTAGATTCTGATGACAGTAACTGAGCAATTTCGTTGAGAAAGCGTGCGCGATGGACGCAGGATCTTGTCGGTATCGTCATTCCATAAAGTGTCTGCACTTGACCAGGCACGTTAAATCTTTTCGCAAATGGCGGGTCACTGGCCGGATCTCCTCTTCGAATGTACAGATAGCTACTCGCTGGTACAGAGGGGTCATTGAATGAGGCATGCTTGTAGAAGGCCTCCAGAACCTCTGCCGAAATGCCTGCTAGCGCTCTGATAGTATTTGGACCGAAATTGACACCCGCGCCGATTTCACCAAAGCTGGGCGCAGCCTCGTATATGTGGAAAGATATTCCATACTTTTGTAGGCCAATGCCAAGTACGACACCAGCCAGGCCGCCCCCCACAATCGCTACTCGAAATGCCTTTGAAGCTGAGTCGGCCATTCCCGGCTTCCCTCATAAACTTGAATTTACAAACAATCAGAAAGCGATTGGCGATGATGGTGTTTTATCTGACTTTTTTTTCATGGGTCTAGTCCTTCTGAAGAGCTAGGAATTTTGGACTTTTGCGATGCCTTGTCAACTTCGACCTCGAAATTAATCCCTCCATTTCGCCTCTATTTACCACATTTGTGCATAGCATAACGCGCTGGTTGGTAGAGATAAGATTGGTGTGCTTACGATTTACGGCGTAGCTCTGTTATTGGGCCGACTAACAATGCGCCAAGGGGCCATTCATGATGAATGCGGTATCGCGCCCATGATGAAACGGCCTGGACGAGTCTTCCGTACTGAGGTACCATCTGTGGATCGGAGACTAATCTGTCACCATCAGTCTCCCGTGCTCAAAACGGCATAGCACTGATTTGGCATTTGAGACTCGTAGTTTTGGCTTTCTTATGTTCGTTCGCGTTCATTGCACATAGTTGTGGTTCATGACAGCGACAGATTGCTACATTCTCTACTGGCTGTGAAATCAATTCTTGTCGCTAAACAGTGTCCATCTTCATCCGGGTGGCCGCGTAGACTTAGACCAGTGAAATAGCAAATGACTGCTATAATTCCTGTGAATTCATTCGAGTAGGCTTGCAAGAACATGTCTGTTCAGCTCTGAAAACTTGATTCTTCACCCTGCTTTCTTCCCCTCCTTATTACATCACATTAACGAGATCCATCAAGTCAGGTAAAAACTTTTAGTCTTTCTGAGGCTTGCACAAAAGCTCAAGGATTTTCTGTGCCGCCACATCTCTTCCTGGTCCCTTCTCAAGACAGATGCCTGACAATTGCAGGGCCTTCTTGGTGTAATCATTGTGTCGTGGGCTCAGGAAGACTTCCACAAACACTGCGCTAAGCTCTTGAGACGTCCAATGTGGGCAAGATTTCCTGTTGCCCCAAAGACCGTTACCGAGATATTCTGTGCGATCTGCCATGTCATACGTATCAAGCCATGCCGGGAGGATAACTTGTGGTTTGCCGGCTCTGTATCGAAGCATGTTAGCATGTACCCACAGGAGACCGCACTAGTGTAATCTGTGATGAGGTGTTGAGCACTCACACGAGGCCCTCATACCAGATATTCGCTCCTCCATGGTTGACTACACCAATAACTCCTGTTTCTGACAGCACTGATAGCATTGTTGGCTGGATCCAGTCAACAATCCAAACCCTACCTGCGTTCTTTTCTTCGACTAAAAGGTCCTCTAACAGGAGTTTGGAATCTTTTCTTCTCTTCACCTTCCACAGGACTTGTAAGTCTCCTTTCTGTCGCAAGATATTACGCAATGCAGATTCGAGTTCTACCAAATTTGAGTCGTTATACAACCGATGAGTGCCAAGGTTGACAACAATCGTCTGGCGACCATTATTGATCCACTTCTTGAGTTCTGGATCAGATTCCGCAAGCGGTACGTCAGGACGCACCATTGGCCCGCAGTAAAATACGCTCTCGGGTATCTTCTTGAAGGGATAGTCAATGTCCGGAAGACTATGGGTCAGGGTAATCATGTTAGGGTAATGTAGAACAGGTAACCGTGGCGGAGCAGCTGGGTGAAGTGAAGCGCGATGGCTTAAAATAGAAGGTGCGGTCTTGTCGCGTGCAATGTTTATGCCGAAATAAACGAGATAGAAAAAGTTGAGAGGAATTTGATGCCAAGGCAGCGGATACGACAGACAAGAGAATGGACGGTGGTAAAAATTAGTTCACTTCTCGCTATCAAAGCTGGTATCTCGTACTTACAGTGGATGCTTCGTGAGTATATCAAGTATAGGCTGGTCAGAGTATACAATTTCTTTAGTCGTGACTGACCAAACTAGGCACATCTTAAGACCTGATGCCATCGCTGCATCGACTCCGGGGGTAATTACGGCATCCAGAACAAGCACAATGTCGTTGGTGGACTTGACTGCCCCCTTGATGATATCAAGATGTTTGAGAACTTCGAAGAAGACGTCCGCGTATTCTTCTTTTGTCCAGACCATAGTAGAAACGGGAAGTCTACTATAGATATCCAGATGGCCCTGCAAAGACGTATCGTGAAACCAACCTGACATGCCGTGACCATTTTGCATTCTATCTGTTCCAGCATTCAAACTGACTCCTGCCTTAATTGTATGATATGCGATCTTTCTTGTGGCCCTTACCACTCTAGATGCCGCGATTGCTGTTTGGTCTACGGCTTTTTCCTGGCCCGCCCAAGAGATGACATGTACATCAACATCCTCTGCCGACTGTAAAATGCCGTGCGCAATGGCAAGA